GGGGCGGGCAACGGCCGGGACCCCCCCCCTCCCCCCTCCGCAACTCGTCCTCACGCACCCTGCCTGTGACATGAGTGTCGTGGTGATGCAGACCTGGCCTGGCCTGTGCGTAGGCACGGAAGCACACATGTATACTCACACACACCTGCCGGCCGCACCCTCACGTGCATGCATGTACATGTGCCAGTATGCACACGCAGATTGTATACATGTACATATACACCCACACACATGCTTACACATACACGCACCTGCACACACTGTGCACACCTGAACAGACACACGCATGCATACCCACACACTGCATATATGCACATGTACGCATACACACGTGCACCTACACATACGTGGGTGTATACATCTATATGGGGAGTCTCTGATCAACAGAGACTCCCCCTGCCTGAAGAAGGGTGATTGCACCCCAAAGCTTGCCAAAAACGTTTTTCCAACCGCTCTGTTGGTCTAATAAAAGATATCACATCTATTCAAAGAACATAGCCTGGCTACGTATACACATGCACACTCTTGCACATACATGTATGCCTACACATGCACTAACTCCTGCACTCGTGCCCATGTATGCATACACATACCTGTAATCATACTTGTATGTGCACACACACTTGCATACACACACATGCATACACACACATACACACACACCTGCACATGTATGCATACTTGCACATGCTCCTGCACCTATGCATACACTTACACATCGGCCACTTCCTTGCACGGGTAGGCCATGGCCTGGCGAGGGCGCCCATCCGTGCTGCCAGCCCCACACCAGCACTCTGTCACCAGAGGGATGTTGGGGAAGCTCTGGGGGCTCCCTCCTATTTTAAACCACAGCAGTGTTCATGGCATTCGGAGCAGATTCCTCCCCCACTCACGCCCCCAAAGTGCACCTTGCAGCCCTGCAGTTGTCCTGCCCACTGAAATTGGGATTGCCAGGGTTCCTCACAAGGGCAGGTGGGCTAATGCCATAGTCCCTGGCTGCTCAGCATCTGGCCTGCAGGCCAGATCTGGTCCCCAGCACTGTGTCATCTGGCCCGTGGGACTCCCTGCAGATTTGTGTGCATTCGGTCATGGGTGCGAGGCCTGATGTGGGTATATGGGGCTGGGTTGGGGTGGCATGGGCCCTAGGGCCCAGTCCTGGCACCCAGGGTGTGAGCTAATACATGGACAGGCTCTGTGCCACTCCTCTGGCCTGTGTTGCCAAAGCATTGAGCATCACTTTTGGAGCCTCTTGATTTCTTTTGATCTGTGTAGAGTGGAGTGGGAAAAGGTAATAGTTAAAACTGAACACCCTGCCCCCAGAACCAGATATTACTGCATGCTATAAATGTCTGTTGTAGAGCTAGAAAGCAGCAGAGAATCTCTGCAGTGAGAAATATTACAAGTTTTTTCTATTTCCTCCATTTCATACTAGTGCAGCCTGTGAAGATGGATATAATCACTAACACTTATGTTTCAGTATTACTGTGGCCTGAGGTCAGGGGGTGAGTTTGGTTTGTGTAGAGAACAAAACAGCTCCGTTTTGCTTCTAGACATTTTCTTTCTGTGAGAGCCCACGGGAAGCAAAACATCACCATGTTAGGTTTTCAAGTTCCGCATATGATTGCTGTATACAGTATAAACTACTTGCCACATGGGCAGAAAAGGTAGGCAGCCATTTGACAGCTTCCATTGATTTCAATATTAAAGGTACTTTTTAAGCTGATTTAAAGGCTGTTGCTAATTCTTGTGGGATAAGCCTGCTGTCAGCTTTTCACACCTCAATAATGCTAGTTATATTGTTACTTAAAGTACCTTACCTGCTAATAGCAGTGTTGAAATTAACAGAAATTCCTGAGGTTCAGGGCTTGTCAGCAGTTGAAATAGTCTAACAGAGGGATTAACTGTTCACCTCACATATTGGGAAGTTTCCTGGTTGCCAAATAAGCCCTCAATATGCAATTTAGCCTGTATGTGAAACTTCCCAAAATATTTTTACTGTTGACCTGCCATTAGTCTCAAAATCAAAGGTACCTGCATTGGAAGAACACCAGGCAGTCCATGTAAATGTTCAGTATTAAAACAAGCTTTTAAATCACTAGGTGTTTGGCTGCTGGCTTTTGATTTACAAAACTTTTTTTGGGTAGAGTTGGGGTGGTGGTGTAGCCATCAAGGTCAAGGAAAAATGTGAGGGGCAAGAATTTTTGTGGGTGACATTTATTGGGCCATACAGAAAAGTTTTCAAGTATAACAGGTCTGTGAGGAAGAGTACTTCATGCCCAAAAGCTTTTCTGTATGACTCCCAACTATACAGTTGGTTCCATAAAAGATATCACCCACATGAATTCATGACCCTCCAAAACTTTCTTTACAGGGGAACATCTGGATTGCCCCTAAACTGAGTTTGCTAATTAACAGCAGACCACAATGTGTTTTACTACATATTTTAACTAGGAAAAATAGTGTCTTCTAGTACCACTTATTTTTCAATAACTAACTAAAATTTGTTTTTTATAGGGTGAATATTCAACAAATAACATAATGAAAGATACAGAAATAAAGAAACTCCTCTTTGCCCACATTTTCTGTGTGGTTTCCATTATTCTGTCAACTGTCGTTCCATCTTTCTTCTTGGAGAACTTCTCAGTTTTGGGAACACACCTTACCTGGTTGTGTATTTGTTCTGCTTGTGTCACTACTGTAAATATATTTTTATATATAATAGTAAAACCAAATCCATCTTCTAAGAGAAGTTCATTTGCTCACAAGGTAAGACTTTATACAGTTAAGTTAACACTAAGGGCATTTAGGGAGAACTGAAGAACTGACTTTTTGTACTGAAGGAACCAAGTGGGAAAATGAAAGAGCAAAATAAATTCAAGTGTTAGTGAAGTTCTGGCTAAGTGTAGTACCTTCTGAAATGGGTTTTTAGTTTTCACAGATGCTAAACTTTCTCTCACACCTAAAAGCATGCAGATATACAGTATTTCTTAGTCTGTCTTCTGAAAGTATTTTAGACTTTCTTTGAACCTCCAACAGACTTCACTCTGAGAAAAGTCAGTGTGGGTACAGAAGACTGCATGCCTGGAGTTCATTGTAGAGTCAGGGCTGAAGCCAGCATTATGAACGTATCTCTCCACAGCTAAAAGTTGTCAATAGGTATCAATAATCTAAGGTAGAAAAGAGCATTGAATCATTTTTAAAAGAGCTTCACAAATTATTGAATAAAGGTAACGTTAAGCAAACTTGAATGTTCAGTACGGTTAAAATGGACAGTTAGGCTGCATCCACACATGTATGGATGTTTGTTTCCCCAGGGACAACTAGCAGTGGGACACCTTGTGCTGCTGCTAATTGTCCCCGGGGAATGTGCATGTTATGCATGCTTCAGCAAGTTACCCCGGGGGTGGTAGGGGAGGCTGGGGCCAGCACTGGGCTGGCCCAAGCAACCTTATCTGGGGTCCTAGGGGCCTCCTGGGGCTGCAGCAGTGGCAATTTTGCTGCATGGAGCTTGGCTGGCATCCGCAGTGTGGCTCTGGCTTGCCTGGCTCCATTTTTGAGTGGTGCGTGCTGCTTGTGAGTACACTGCAGTATTTTTTTTCTCCGTGGATATATTCAGATATCCAGGGGTCAAAAAAACCATCTGTGCTGCTCCCTTGTAGCGTGGAGAGCAACTGAATGTGCAGTCTGCGGCACCACATACCGCATGGCCATGCTCGTCTGGACGTAGTTTTAGTGTCATTTGAACAAACACATCAGTACCCACCAGCATCTTCGTTTTAAAGAAGGCATTGCATATTGTAGTTTGTGGTACTGGGAGTGGAACACAATCCAGAACCCAACCAAACCAGGGCAGGGGAGCAGAAAAGTAGCTCAAAGACTTTTTTTTCAGTCTTCCCTGCCTCTGTAGCTGAGCCAAAGGACTAATTCATTGAAAACTTGATGCTTTTCAGTCTTGGACAAGCCAGACATTTGAAGGCAATACTTTTGTGCACAGAATGTCTGGTAAAGCACTGATCGACTGAACTAGTGCATTTTCCTATATTGATCCTGCCCTCCCCCTTTATGCTATGTGAACGATTCTAATAAATAATGTTAAATGTGCAGAGGAACCAAGCTGAGAAACAGACTTTTTTCCTCATTTTCCTTTACAGTTGTAGTCATTGCAATCATTGGATGTACTACTTGTTATAAGAGTGCAGTAGACAAAACAATTTCAAACCAAGAAGGGTTTATTTTTTTAAGTTATTACTTTAAAATAATCAGGACCTCTTGCATATTAAATATCTAGTTTCAACCAAATGATTATGTAGTTAATTAGTTATGTATTTGTAGAATTTAATATAGATGATTACCCTGATATTTTATTAAATTATTTTTTCCTTTTTTCAGATATCTAGATTTCTAAAATGCTGCATATACTTCTTCATGTCCTGCATCGTGTTTCATGGAATTATTGTCCTTTATGGAGCACCATTAATAGAGTAAGTCTGAAAACCATATCTTCACTTAAGACCATTAAGATCTATCTCTCCTTACAAATGCTGGTATAACAGCTTTTGTTACCAGACACTTGGGACTGTCTGGCCTCTGGAGAGAGAAGACTACAGCCCATGTATGATCAGTGCCTCTTTTGCAAGCTTAGACATGGAATTAAGGTGCAGCTACAAGTCCCTTAATGATTACCATTTAGGCACAAACTTAAGGTACAAGTTAGAGTTCTTTTGAGTATCAGCACCCATTTCAGAAAGAAGGCAAGAGACCAATCTACTGCCTGCCTTTTTGTTGTTACATCCCAGAAGTACAAGAATAAACACTTATTCCAGCACGTATGTAGCTACCCACAACAGCAAGCTACACCAGCTGGAGACACTCAGGAGAGAGGTAGCTTACAGATTGGCAGGAGATCTTTTTGAATTTGCTGAGTTCTTCAATTTTCCCTCTAGTCTATACCTTGTATTTATAAACGGCTTGTTCTAATAATCTAATAAACATTTTTTAGCCCAGTACTGGTGTCATTGACCAGTGGACCTTGTTCTATAGTTCCAGGTTACTGCTTATTGATTATATGTTAAGTACTTCTATCTGTATAAGCCTCAGCACATATTATCTGTAGTTTAGGCTTATGCTAGGTCCGCAGTCTGTACCTGTCATCATGGTGTTTCGGTTACCATATCTGTGGTTCTGCAGTTTGGGTGAACAACTGAATCAGTTGATGTTTATGTTAAAATTCTTATTGGTATGCATAGAGACACGATCTCTTCATATATATTTTGAGGTAGATATGTAGATTGAAAACAGACAAGCAACTCATTTGATTAATTATTTTATTTATAAACTCTGTGGAAAGTGGTGAAGTGAAAAAAATGCCTGGGAAGGTTGCTGTTGCTGTAGTTGTATAAACATTTATGTCTTTTCTTTTTCTATTTTAGAATTTGGGATGTAAGGGTTGGGGAGAAATTTCCCTGAGGTCTTTCTTGGCTGCTATTGGAAAGCTGTTTTGAATTGCTGAGTAAGGATGACATCATGCAGAATGATCTCATGATGTTGTTTCACAGAGTCAAACTAGAGTGAAGAAAGGAGTGGGGAAGTAAAGCCAGTGGGTCAAAGGTAAAAAGTGGCTTTCAGGTAATAAACCATGAAGATGAGCTGTTACACTTCATATTTTGTTTAGGAGGTGAAGACAATACAGGAATATTATATTCATTCTTTTCCTTCCTGCATTCCAGAGGCTGAGGAGGAAAAAAAACTTTTTACAGTAATTTTAGGATAGCATATCTATTTTTTTGCAAATTGGGCATTTTTCTGAAATTTAAAACTTCTGAGTCTGCTTTAGTTAATTTATGTTTCTTACCCTCCTTTGTAGGTCAGTGCTTGAGACATTTTTGTTTGCAGTCCTTCTATCTACATTTACAACTTTGAACTGCTTGTGTATGCTAGGACCAAATATCCAAGCATGGATAAGGGTATTCAGTAAAAATGGGTAAGTTTTATTTCAAATTTCCTCCTTTTTCTTGCTGGGATGTAAATAGATGGGATTGCAATATGCAACTTGCCGTGGAGTTTATTATAAAGAAAATAAATCTTCTTTAATGAATTTAGAAGTAATCATTTTATGAGTTAAACTTATCAGTTTTAATTAAGGGTTTGTCAGTTTTCCTCATGACAAATGTCCACATGACACAGTTGATTAGTGAGCTAGCTTTTAGTTTGTGGTCAGAATCTGATTTTAAATGAGTTTTGTTCCAGTGGTTATTTACAAAACCATTGCACAATTTGATACGATTAGCACCCGCCTGACAAGAGCCTGTGACTGAACTGTGTGGAGTAATCTTCATGTATATCAGCTGGTAGTCCCTCACGCCATAAACATGGCCATAAGATGGGGAGGGACAGAGGATGGGAGCTGTTTCAAAGTAGTCATAGATTAACATTGGAAAAAGATGGCTGAACTTTGATCCAGGCAATCTTTGCCCATAAGCAATCTTCATCAAATATTCTGGAAATGTGTTTGCAGTGTAGGAAAATTAAAAGGAGCTCATCAAACTTAAAAAAAAATGTGATCTTAAAATGAAATCAGCCTTGTTGTGTAGCGATATACTGTAGGTCAGCAATCAGTAGTGTACAACACTCAGAGCCTCTTGATCTGGCCTACAGACCTTGGCAGCATTTTGGCTGTGGGAAGTTTCCACCTGGTAGCGGGGAGACATGACAGCTTTTCATAGATTTCATAGACATTAGGGCTGGAAGGGACCTCGGAAGATCATCGAGCTTTGATGTTGTGGGTGTGGGAGAGGTGGTTTCATCTCTGGTTTTGGCTCCAGCTGTGATAGTGCTGGCCAGTTTGAAAGCAGCCTGCACTTGGAAGTAAGCTCTATTAAAGTAGCCCCCCACTGCAACATGCTGCCAAGCCCTGCTGTAGGTAATGACATAAGGCTGCACTGAGGACCTTTTAAATTCAGGTGGAAAGCATAATGTCCCCCCTACTTCTTTAGTCCCCTGGTCAATAATGGAGCCATTAAAATCTATAAAAGCTACTTATAAGCTAATGGATTTTCATACATTCATTGTTACTAGGCTAAAGTCTGATCTCAAGCAAATGTAAAAAGTAGCATAATTCTGGTGATTTAAGTCAGGGGTGTCAAACTCGCCTTGTGCCTCATCTGGACTGCGGAGCTACTTGTGAAGGATCTGGCATGCGGCAGTGGTGGTGGAATTGTCAGGACTGTCAGCAGTAGGACAAGCGGCCATGGGACCAGTGGCTGCAGGGTGAGCCACTTTGTGTTGGCACAGCTCTTACTCGCCCTCGCACAGCTCTCACTTGCCCTCCTGTAGGTAATGGCCATGCCTTCCAGGACCCAGAGACCTCGGATTCTGTGGTAGGCCATGCCCTCACTTCCAGTAGCCTGCCAGTAGCTCTCTGGGCCAGATGAAGCAAATCCATGGGCCAGATCGAACCTTCAGGCTATATGTTTGACATCCCTGACTTAAATGGTTACTTATGACTTACATTGACAGAAAATCAGAATTAGGATTCTATGTATAATAGTTATATGCACTCATTTTTATATTAATAATAGAATATGAACTGGGAACCGGTATTGGGATTTATTGTTTTGTGCAAAGGAGACTGAGAGACAAAGATCCCTATTCATGTCAGTGTCATAGGCTTTTTCTCTTTACATTTTAAAGAGTGGATAGGGGAATAGAAATTAAACTTTGTGAGATTTAATAAGAAATATGAAGTTATTTTTTATCCAAAATAAAGTAAGGATAAACTGGTTAATCCAGCCCATTGTGCTAGGAGGTTTTACATCTGCAGTTAGTGGGTGAGATTGTATAACATGTATTCTACAATAATCTCCTTAGTTGTGCCAGTTTTAACTCTATTCCTTTCTTTCTTAGTCAAGCTCTTAATGTTGCTTGAATGTAATTAGTTGCATGTTTTTTAATATGCAACTTGAAGGAGGCAATTTGTCTTGCTTTGGCACTTTCTTTGGGGCAAACTGTCCCTGCTTCAAAGCAGCTGGTCAGGCACCAAATGTTATCAAAGAAAGATGAGTATTTCATTTAACATAACAAAGCTGATCTGACTTTGATCCTCCAAGTGTTTTGTATTGACCTAAATGCATTCAAGTCAGTTTCTTCCTAGTTGTGTATCTTGAAACCAGTCCTGCAAGATACTGAGTGGTTCTTCAGAGATGCTTAATTCCCATTGTTATTGATTTTTCAGGTGTTCATTGCTTTGCAAATTCATTTATGAATTAAGTTAGGGCCTTGTTACATGGTAAATTTGGGAAGCTTTTGGAGCTCTTAACCCCTGGACTGGTTGCATGTTAGCACCTTTTAAATGGTTTAAAGTGCTTGTTATTTGTTTTAGAGTTATGCCACTCAAGTATAGGATTATCTCCAAACTGCCTAATGTTGTTGCTGTTCCATTACTGTGTGATCACTTCCCACAGCTATTCTGCCCAATTTGAAGTCCTCAACTATCCCATAATGCTCTGAGCGGCCCAATTCTTTTTTCACTGGAACGCGCAGTAGCCATGGTGCCTCCTGCTACTGCCTGGACTGGCTCCACTCCTGCCAGCAGTTGTGCATGTGTGAGTGGGTGGCAGGCACTGCCTAAGCTCTGGAGAAAAAGGGATCAGGCCCCTTGAAGCTCAGAGCTAGAGAACTCCAGGACTGCAGCCCTGGAGCTCTCTGGTCTCACTGAGACTGACACAGTGGCTCCGCACTGAGAGCAGGGCTGTCAGGGCTTAAACCTGGAGGCCCCGCTCTCAGTGCAGAGCCCATTTGGCAGTTTCAGTGAGACCAGAGAGCCCCAGGGAAGCTGCTTCCCCTGGTTTCACTGGTTTTGCTCCAACTGACGTGGTGAGTCTGCTCTGTGCCCAGCGGGAGCAGCGAGCAGGTCCTGCCCCTAGTCCTGCCCCTGCTCACCAAGCCTCTAGTGACAACTTGCAGCTGTGCAGGTGAAGGACAGTCAGAGCAGGTTTTTCACCTTATTGTGCGACTGCTGTACTAAGCCAAATAACACTAAGCCAATTAACATTTGTTTGGTTCACAGCATGAGCTCTAACAAGACCCTTATACCATAGGTTTTGGTAATTTAATGCCTCTCTTCTTTTAGAGGCATGTGTACCCTTTCATTGATAATAGCTTAGGTTTTGAACAGCACAGGCAAAATTTCTGCAGTGTAAAATAGCAATCAAAGATTTTTCCAGTATTTTCCATTATGTGTGGTGTTCATTGCATAGCATATGTCCAGTGCTCTCAGACTAAAAATGAAATTGGGTTTTAAGGTTACATCTGCAGTTTATACATTATGCAACAAAAAATATATATTTTAGTTTTTGGTACTTGAATTAATATTGGGTATAAATTGATATTTTAAAGAATGGGAACATTTCAGTGTTAGCATAATATTTATAGTACTGTTGTGGGAGCCTGGGACCCAGCCCCCCAAGGAACCCAGGAAAGGGAACTCCTGGGGAAACGTCCCAGAGCATCAGGAAAAACAGTATGGCCCAGTAAGGGCTGGAGATGTTTCCTACATACCTGTAGCAACATCGGCGGTGGCAGCAGAGCAGCAGCAGACACAGCAGCAGGCACACTTTAGAAATGTGTGCTTGCTGCACATAGGCTGGTGTGCCAAGACATCTGGTATAACTGGATGTCCGGTGCCAGCTGGAGAGAGAGAGAGGGCACAGCGAGAAGGTAGCATAGCGCTGGAGCAGAGCAGGCGCTGCTTCAGGAACAAAACGCTTCCAACACAAGTGAGGGAAACAGCCTGAAGCCCAGAAGCTTGGAGGAGCACTGAACAGCGGAGAACCGGCAACTACCCCTTTGTGGTAATTGAGATGGTGGGGGAGCTGATCCTTGTGAATGAAGAGGCCCTGGCAGTTTCATAATGGCCCCAGCAAGGATGCTCGGAGGAGCCGGGTTGCAGGGTCAACAAGTGAGTTAGAGAGCCAGTGAGGCTCCAATTGATTGCTAATTCTCCAATTAATGTAGTCTTCTTTAATGAAGCCGACTGTGGGGTATTAACTGCTTGGCTGGACTGAATTAATGAATTGCCTTCAGTCTGATCCGAAGGCAAAAGAAAAATTTCCTTTTGTATAGAGAGGACAGTTAATTAGCCCAGAGGGCATTGGTGTGAGCCAGAAACGCAGCTTTTGCATTGAAGGCCCTGGAACCAGGGCCAAGATACCACGTTGGTGGTACTGACCCAGCATTAAGTACACGGGTCTCTTTTTTTTTTTTTACCTAAGTTTGGCTCCAGGACCTCAAGTACTTGGTTGGCGCATGGACAAGGTGAAGGGGAGGCAGGAGCCCCGCAGAGCATCTACAGAGCCACATGCAGAGCCTCATTGCAACAACGAGCCTTCTGTTTAATAAAATCAAGATGTGGCGGGCAAGAACAGAAGGGTGGCTCTCAGGCATGTGTGTGTACCAAGGCCAAGCTCTTGGCATATAAACCCAGCTGTGTACAGGGCTTGGGCTCTTGAGCCTGGTGGTACCGAACCTATCTCCGGTGCTGGGTACAACCGATATTTGCTTCAGTCCAAAATGAGGTTATCAACATGGGGGAAAAAAAATCTCCTCTTACATTTGAGTACTGGCCTGGGGCAGGTGGCAGTTCAGTTCTGGCTTCAACCCCGGGCTTGAGCCACCACCTGCCCTGGGCCAGGATGGCTTGTGCATGGCAAGGGGGGGTGCGCAGTGGGGAGAGTGTGGGGGAGACCATGCATTGGGGATGAGGTAGAGGGTGCATGGGAGAGACCTGTGGTGTGTGGCTTGGAGGGATGGAGCACAGGGGAAACCATCCGGCCTACACGCCATCCCACCTGCCCCCCAAGTCACTTGTGCCTCCCTTCTGCCCTGCCCTCTGCCCCCCACCCGCTGCTTACTATTGGCTCTGGCTCCAGCCCCTCCTGTCCTAATCTGGCCAGGACCAGACCTACTTCTCTCTGGTTGGGCCTG